TTAACAAAGAAGATTTAGTAATATTGAATACTGCAAGTTTAACCTTATTTGAAAATTCAAAACGTCCAACAAAAAAACTTATACCAAAATTTATCGGACTATTTAAAATTCTAAGGAAAATTTCCACCACAGCTTACCAATTAGAGTTACCTGACACCTTGAATATTCACCCAGTTTTTTATATTTTACTATTGAAGTTGTATCACCAAAATGAGTTTGAAAGAAGAAATATAGCATAGCCTCTGCCCCTGATCATTATGAAACATGATTTAGAACCAAAATTCGAAGTCGAAAATATATTAGACAAATACATTTTTCACCGACAAGTTCAATATTTTGTAAAATAGAAAGGTTACTCATTCTACAATGCTACTTGAGAACCTATAGCAAACCTTGGAAACTGTAAAAACTTGGTAAAAGCGTTTGAAGAGAAAGAAAAAATTGTTTTAAATAGAGGAGAGTATAAGGGTTTAGATGTAGATTATATCAATTGAGGTGGTATGAATCACGTAACATGTGATTTACATAACAAACAAATTAGGATCGATGAATACGAATCACATGACTGTATTGCGAAAAGTTACGTAACAGACCTGACTAAGTCGGAGCTGTATCGTGATAGTAGTAGCAATCCGTGTTATGCGTATTAGTAATATAGTAATTAGTAGTATTAGTAGCAACCTGTGTTATACGCATTAATAATGTAGTAATTAGTAGTATTAGTAGCAATCTGTGTAATGCGCATAAATAATATAGTAACTAGTAGTAATAGTAAGCGTATAATAAATGTAGTCATAGGCATAGTTCATATTAGTAATAGTTATATTGTAATAAGAAGGAAAAGTAAAAATTGAAAGGTATAAAAAGGAATAAATTCGGTTAATATAATAGATCATTCGTACAAAAAGAAAAACAATAATAAGAAAATACCTTTCTTTACACAAAACTTCCCTGTTCTTGATTAATCTATACTTACAATAAATAGGTCTGGTTATACTTGTTATAGAAATTACTTATTTTTTCTCTTGTGTTACTTGATTAACAATGTAATTATTACGATATCGATCACTAGTTTAATTATATAACAAATGAATTTTTATCTATCACAAAAGCAAGAAAATATAAAATTGCATCTTTTTATTATTAGAGAAAATTTTTATATGCAATTACTTCAATTTTTTTTCAATTATAAAACAAGTGAATTGTCTTTATTTAGAGTAAATTTTACTATCCTTATATATATTCTGTTGATATTATAATAAAATATTAGAGATACTAATAGTCTTCAATATCTTCTTTATCTTCTTTATTCGAGAGATAATTGGTATATTACAAATTTGAGAAATCCTAATCAAAAAATATATATATTATTTTTGGATATTGTATTATAAAGAATCAAGTAGGTTTAATTAAATTTGAAGTATTTGTATAACTTTATATATATATATATTTAATTAATTTGCTTAATAACTATAGTATATATATTAACAATATTTAAAACAAATATATAAAAAAAAATACAAGAATTTCAAAAAAAACAAATACTAAGAATATTTGTAACTATTTACTTGGACAACTTCTAGAATTATGTTTAGTGCTGCTACAAATACTACATATATATGTTTTTTTAGTAGCAAGCTCAATATTTAATTTATTGTGACTAGTATTATTTGGCCTTCCTTTTGTTTTTGCAATAAGAGGATCTTTAATATTTTCTTGTGATAAGGGATATTTATCATTTAATTCTTTTACAAAAAGAGCAAATGAATCATTAATTTTGACATGTTCTACTCTATTAGAAATTGTTCTAATTTCTTTAAGTAAATTTGTAGTACTCTTAGCAAACACCTTCTCTTGATCAATAGAAATATTATAAATGCTTTGATTGGTAAACGATGTGAACCTAGTTGCAAATTTATTGCTATGATTAAACTCATTACAATTGGCAATATTAGTTAATCATATTTAGGTTATATTATATTAAATCTTGTTAATAAAACAATCGAATAAGCACCAATATAATTAATATTTACAATCTTATTATCAGTAATTGTCGTGTCTTTTAGCAGTTATACGGGGTCTTCGTTCCCTTTTACTTAGAATTTCCCTTGGTTTTCCAATTCCACTCGCTTGGCTTTCTACACAGGCTAGAGTATCGTTCCAGGTACTACCACCAATAGACTACTATGTCGACCACTCAGTTTATACCTTCGAGCATTCTTTACTAAAGCCAAACTCTTAAA